GCTGGAGAGGCCTTTAAAGACTTCAGCTTTCTGTTTGAGGAAGCAGACATTACATAGCCTTCTGCAGCACAGGCCCTTACAGAGGGCTCAAAGCCAGACCTCGGAGTGTCATTCCATTCAGAGCCATTTCTGTCCCCTCCAGAGAGGGAGCATAAGGTAAAACTGCTTCATCTACATCCATGCCCTGGCCACCCCAGCACTGAGTCAAGCCTTAGTGAGAGCAGATGCAAATACACTTCTTAACTATGACAAATAGAGACTATCTGCAGGGGGGACTGGACTGGTGCATGGTGAGGAAGGACCTGACAGAAGCATGTCCAGGTACCAGTTCCTGGAGCCAACCTTTTCCATTACTTACACTCTTCAGATATTTAGAAAAGTTGATTTCAGGCAAGTACACAAAAAGCAGTCTTGTTTGCTCTACTGAGATTTACTAGGAGAGATCAACACTATGCATCAAAACCATAGTAATTTTTTCCCTTCAGACACAGGCATGGAAGACTTTTTGAAGAAATTCCAGTCATTCCCACTGATCCCACTGTTGTACATGGCTGTAGGTTTCCCTCTCTGCCTCACTCTCACCTGGCTACCACTTCTGGAAACAGCTCCTGTGTCATGTTCAGCCCCCTGGTCTAAGCAGGCTCCAGACACTGTCTTTGAGGGTGTTTTTATGTGACCTAATGAGAAAAGTCATGTGGCTCCCTCCTTCTATGTGCCAAAGTGGAGAGATGAAATCCAGCTCTGGTTCACAAGTTCAACTGCACCAAACTAGTTCAACCTGTCTTGCATGTTATTGTGCCAGCTTTGGGCTTTGCCTTCCAGGGACATAGATAAGATTTGTTTTTTAAACACAGCAGGGAAGTTTTCATTTATGCTGAGGGTTCTAGTTAGAAATAAGTTTATAGGATAAATCAGAATTTATAACTGTGTACATACACGTCAGAACGGAATATCCTTCTCCACTTGTAGTCAAGAGGCTGCCAAACTTCCCCCATTCTGTCCCCACACCCAGCTCCCAAACCTTGTCCTTGCTCCAGTCATGGAGCAAAATAGTGGAATCAAGGCAACTTGCTCCATACAGTCTCCCCTGTGCTGGGGACCAGGAGACTATCAGATGAGCTGATTTATTTCCCAGATGCTGGAAGTCTGAGCTTAAGGTCAGCAGGTTGTGCAACGAGTTTTACAAAAAAGCCCCTTCCCAGACTGGGGTGCATTCAGTTCCCAGAGCAGACTAGAAAAGGAGCTGTGGCAAAGTTCTAGTAGGCAGAGGGCAGGATGGATGGCATACCTGGAATTCCTTGAAACTCTTACTGCAGCTCTGAGCTACCTGTCACAAGGAATGGAGATGACATTGGTAACCATCGGCTGCTCTCTCTAGATATTCAGTCTTCCAAACACTTTTCTTGCCTGATTATTGTTATCAATTAATACATTATTAAAAAATAGTGAAGGAAAGCCTGTTTTTCAATCTTTTCCTTTCAATATTAATTTAGACTCCAATTTTTACCAGATTACCTTTAGAGACCTGAAGGTCCCTGACAGTATTTATTGTTATAAATCTTTGATTTTGAATTCTGCTTAAAGAAACTCTTATCTGGTACAAGGAAGTAATATTTCAGGCAACTCCTATTCATGTGCTTTAAAGAACTTAGTATAAAACTGCTGCAGTCCCCACAAGCACTTTTCTGTCATGGGTCTCCCTGCAGAGTCACTGTACACAGCATTTGGAATGTTGGCCAAGTGCTCCATGTTCTCAAGCAAAATGGGTAACAGACAGATGGTGTCATGCTAACCTGAATTTAACCTTGAAGGTTAAAATTCAGTTCTTGGGGGAAGGTCCACATGTAAGCTGGAGCTGCTGCAAGTCCTGTTCCAAAAGCATATGTAGGAAATGTCCTCTATGGGGTTTGTGGGATTCTCCTGTATGAGAGGTGGATGGTGTTCACTGTGGTCATTTCCTCACACAATTGAGAGACACAGACAAAAATGCCATGTTTGACTTGCCTATGGGTGCACTTTCTGAGTATGGCAGATATTTTGCACCTTCCTCAGTTAAACACTAAAATCTCAGCACATTTACAAAGTATTGAAATATTTTCCATCCCAGAGGCAACCAGTTCAGTGGGGAACAGCTCGCATCTTCATTGGGCTGTGGACAAAGGGCTTCTTTCGAGTTTCACACACCACATCAGTTAAATTATACCTCCTTATGTTGCTTTTTTTCCCCCTCACACAAGACACAATATTGTAGATGATCTGTGCTTTGTATCTCTCAACATTGCTGGCAAGTTCCATACTGCAGGTATTGAAAACAGGAAGTTTTTAGTGGAAAGAAAGAAGGAAACAAACTGCTCTGTCTGAAAACAGGAGCTACTTAGAGTGTTCCTACCCTAGAAAATGGTTACAGGATTTGAACAGATCCAGGAGCATGTGCGTACCCTATTAGAGTCTTGAATGTATCCATTTATTTCCTGGAGATAACAGGGCCTTTACTCAGCTT